GTGGTTCTGACAAGTGTCGTCGGCATCTTCATATCCGGTCACATGGGCGGAAAGCCACTCCCATCTGGTCACATGGGTGGAAAACCACTCCCACAAAGTTCGAACAATTTTTGAAACCCACCACTGTTCTCCACTTTATAAATCACCATTACTGTGGAACCGGTGGGCGGTTAGAAAATTTTATTACTAACAGAGATACAAAAGTGGGCGGTAGGTATAAAAAGGTTGACTACCCCTGCACTACAGAGCAAATTCTGGGACATTAGCAAACTTCAAGCTTCTTTGGTTATTAACAAACCAAATAACTCCATTCACAGTAGAAAACATGTTTTGGATTTTTTATGATAGGAGGAAGGAAAAAAGCTCTTAAAATGTAGAGGTACAACAGGTGGAGAGCTTGATTATTTATTTACTGAAAATTACAAGGCTAATTGGAGGCTGGCAAGAATACTGTTCAATCAATTCTTAATGAAAGTTAAAGCTAAAATACGTACAACTTTATTGTAAGGTAAAACTCTGTTCTTACTGCTTCCCTCAGTTCTTAGTCTCTCTCTACCATAACTAGGGGTGGGTTGCTGCAGGGGTTACTGCTGGTTTGCTTCGTGTGCGATTTGTGCACACACCGGCCACACATTGCATGCACAGTTGCCTGTAAATTCTTCTGTGCATGCTCAGAACATTATAAAATTATTAAAAAACATGCCGGCAATGGCATGGGTAACTGGGGAACCAGTTTGTGGACGTGGCCAACCTGCCATCCCTACCAGTTCAGGAACCCAGTTCCAATTTCCATTACCGATTCACTCGAACCGGTGCGAACTGGTGTGAACTGATAGCAACCCATTTCTGACTATGAGGCATAAAATTCATTTGTGAAGTGATCTTTGATTCTGCAACGTCTTGAATATTGACTGTGTTGGAAATGACCAAAATCATTGCTACCATTATTACATCTTATAATATGAATACGTCTTTTAATATTTTAAATATTTTCAAATCCCCCAAAATAATTCTTTTGGGGGGGGGGGGGACAAGAAATCCCACTCCCTGCTTCTAGAAATATGCTCCCAAGGTATGAATTCAGAAAAACATCAGTTATTTGGTTTCTCTAAACAACCACTATGTAGCCTAGTAACTCTGAAACTAATCACCAACCCACTGCTAAATTTTAAGGAATGAACTTGACAAATTGTCCTATGGGAAACTCAATGTATTCCTTTAGGTTAAACAGACCATAAGAATAATAAACCTCCCTTCAGAAACTTTCTGTTCGAAAGGGGGAAATGGTAAATGGACTGTCTACTTTCTTAAATTGGTTAAAATATTTTTTTTTAAATAAAGACTTATTCATTCTAGTAAAATATACAAACTAAAAACAGTTTAATATGTATAAGCCAATTTTACACAAGCTGGAACACAATAAACCAAGATATCCCAGAAATTATGTAAGTCTCTGAAGGTAGAAAACTGCAAATAATCTTTTCAATTATTTGTCTCACTCTCACTCTCTATAATCACAACATTTGAAGAAATTCTCTCAATATGCAGTTAACATAAAGATCTATGATTACATTTGTCATAAACAGTAAATAATGTGATCCACCAAACCTAAAAGTTAAACGGTTTCTGTCTCCTACCACCATATGTAAAACATAGATTTTAACTACAGTTAAGCCAGACATACTAAATACACTACAGAGCTTATTTGGCATTAAAATGAGAATGCCAGCATGTTGTAATGGATAAGGTATTGAATCAGAGAACCAAGTTCTAGCCCACACTCAGTCATAACGCACTTCCTCTCAGTCCACTTATCATGTAAGGTTTTGCAGGAGAAGAAGAAAAAGAGAATGTTAAACATGCCACTAATATACGAGAGTTGACAGGAAGTTCTCCAGCTAGAGAGATGTGGGGTGTGTGGGCTCTTAGGAGTCTCACATGAACCCTGTCTGACAAACCATCTCCGAGATTCTTTTGAATCAGAACCCCCACTGGAGATGGGGATGAAGAAGGGCAGCATCTCATCAGACCCTGGGGAAGCCACAGATCCCTCGTAGGTTAGAGATTTGCCTATGAATCGGAGTTGGGGCGGCAGCCTTCAACATGGCTGACAAGATGCTGACTTTTTGTCAAAATAATTTTGGAGAAGGAGGGGAATGGAAGATATGAAAGGCCAGGTAAAGAAATTTATTCAACCCACAACTATAAATTAAACCTGGAAAAGGCAAAGAAATTTTGAGAACATAAATAATATTGATGGTCAGATCGGGACCAAAAGAAAAGGAAAAAGAAAGGTGGAGGGTTGTAACACCAGCCCCCCAGAAGCTTTTTGTTTGTAACGCTTTCAGATAGAAGGATAGAAAGCAGAGAAGTGGCAAACCCANCTGGGGTTACCAAGGGGAGGGGAATGGGTCATGTATTGATATCTATGCTTGTGCATGCTTTTGCTCAGATCCAGCTTTGCTTAGCTTCTATTTACTTATAACCAGTAAAAGTACTCTTAATTCTGCAAAATGGAGCTGAGTGGTTTCTTTCTTGGTTACTAAGTGAAGCAGCCCTGACAGATATTTTAGGTACTGAATGGGAACAAGCTATTTTTTAACATTTCAAGGTGGATATTGGGAGAAAAATGGAAATTGCAGAAATGAAAATAAATAAATAAAAACAAGAGTGAAAGCAGAATGACAGCAGGAAGAACAAATCTTAAGAAAAAGGAATAGCTTAATCTAGGAAAGAGAATGAAGAAAGCAGATGTACAAGCTACTTGAAAGAGTATGGAGTTCTTCTTTCTTCGCTATATATTGCATTGTTTATCCTGAAAGGGAATGGTATGTATGCATATAATAATGACTGTATAGAATTAATCAATTAAATCAAAGGCAAACAAACTTTTTATTCCATACTGAAACTTTCTCGCAATGCTGCACCACTCACCTCTGTGAGAAAACCTGCTATTCCAGCCTGACATGAGCCATGCTCTTCACCATATTTTTTCTTATATTCTAAGATAGAAAAAAGAAATAACAAGATGAGAAGAAATAAGCGCAGTCCTGTCATTCTCCACAAGAAATGTGTAATTCTCAACTCAATGGTCTCTTTATTCTATAAGTACTATCACAAACTGAGACAGTGAAATGCACTACAGCAGTGGTAGTCAACCTGGTCCCCACCGCCCACTAGTGGGCATTCCAGCTTGCATGGTGGGCGGTAGGGGTTTGCTGTAACTCTGCTTTATAAATTTTATAAAATAAAGTTACTTCCCTACCAGAAGTGGGTTCCTACCAGTTCGCACCTATTCGGTAGAACCGGTTCGTCAAATCTACCGAACCGGTTAAGCAGGCCACACCTACAGAAGAGGTTCCAAAAAATTTTGAAACCCACCACT